TGGACATATGGAGAGATGAATGAATGGATAGTTGAACAATGCAAAGTTCTTATCCACATATTCCTTAAATGTAAATAATGTGATATACGTCTACTGTGTAAATGTTTTATGTCTGGCAATATCGTCATTGCAAAAAAGCTACTCTAGAGCTAGGGTTGTTTAAGTAGAAGATTTTTCACTTGAAATGAAGCATTTCAAGATTTTCTGAGCATTCTATATTAAGCAATTTCATCGGTAATGGACTTAAACATCAACATGGATTCCTGATATAGGCACTTCTTCTTGACTCGTTATTCAGTGACAGATTTCGCAGCTATCTTTTTGTCAAGTAGACTAGAAAATTGTATATTCATCTTTCCGTTATCACAATCTCCTACTATCCTTGTTGATGTCTGCTGTTCAAAAAACTACTTGAAAGTGGTGGCTGTCACTGTCCCAAGAGAACTCAGATGTCTGTGCATAACAAATACGTGTTTCCCAGTTCTCTCAAAGCTGCAGACTCTTGAGCTGCGAAAACAACACTGCATTCTTTTGAGTCCTCCTTTAGTCAAAGTCATGTTCCCAGAAGAATGGAGACTGCACTTAGCAATTACCACATCATATGAGCACTAAATCAGTGCTGTTTGTGCCATTATGTCTCATGGATCACCTTGTGAAGGTTTCTGCTTTGTCCTTCAGCTCCTTTTTCCATAGGCCTTAGGACTGGCTGAGACAACACCATGCCTTCAGCCCTACACCATACGCTTCATTTTCTTCCAAGGAAAAAGAAAAAAAATAAACTTGTATGCAAAAGAAGACTCCTTCAGGTCCTAACCACCAGTACAGCAGATTTAAAAGCCTAAGTAGGTGGTAAGGATATTCCATTTTGTATATCTCTTTTTTTACTTGGCTACTGTGAGACTTCTTGTAATCTGTTCTCAGATTTATCTTTGGTTGGTCCCACTTTTTGATCACCGAGATATGGTATATGCAAATGATCTTATAAAAGGGATATCCAGGAGTCATAGGAAATCCCAGAAATAATAGAGGTTCTGAATTAAAGGTGTTTAATTTGGAATGCTTTTTATAAGTAATTATTTTTATCAGTCTTGTTTATTGTATAAAAGTTAAAAGAAAAAAAATCCACAATCTCATTATGCAGAGATAAATATCAACTTTTTTCTTTTTCTTTTTTTTTTAAGAGACAGAGTCTCGCTCTGTTGCCCAGGCTGGAGTGCAGTGGCATGATCTCAGCTCACTGCAACCTCCACTTCCTGGGTTCAAGCAATTCTCCTGCCTCAGCCTCCTAAGTAGCTGGGACTACAGGTGCACGCCACCACGCCCTGCTAATTTTTTTGTATTTTAGTAGAGATGGAGTTTCACCGTGTTGCCGAGGCTGGTCTCGAACTCCTGAGCTCAGGCAATCTGCCCGCCTCCGCCTCCCAAAGTGCTAGGATTACAGACGTGAGCCACCGCACCTGGCCAACATTTTGGTTTTTATCTTTTTAGGCTTTCTCGCTTTCAACCATCCTGTTCAGATGCTTTTGGCATATGCTAAGAAAAAATATTATTTCACATATTTAGAAACCCAGAAGTAGAGGGGACTCAAGGGATGGTATAATCAGTGACTGGTGGTCATCCAGAGCTCAGTTTCTTTATGTTGCTCCACTTTGTCATCCTCATCCTAAGGCGTACCGTTGTAAAATGTAAAACAACATGGCTGTCAGTGGAAGAGTGTCTTGTACTAACTGACTTAATCAACTGCGACGGAATCAACCACAATTAGTTAACCACAGTGTCTTCTTCATGTATATGGCATCATTCTATATAAACTGATCACCAATTTGTTTTTCCCACCCCACTTCACTAAACATCTTAGAGATGTTTAATAGACATAGATCTTTATCATTTTTTAACATCTGTATAGTGTTCTCTAATATGGATTGCCACAATTTGACCATTAGTGGACATAATAGTGACATCTTTATTTACCTAAGAGATAAACTGCTGGTCAGGGAATACATGTATATTTTCCTTTATTAAGAAACAAAACTGTCAAATCTTTTTACAAAGTGATTATACAATTTTACATTCCCACCAACAATGTATTAGAGTTCCAGTTGCTCTATATTCTAATATTTGGTTGTCAGTCTTTTAAATTTTTTGCCATCCTGGTAGATGTAAAGTGGTATCTCATTGTGGTTCAAATTTTCATTTCCCATGTGGAAAAATTTTTTTCATATATTTATTGATTATTATAAGTCTTTGAGAAATGTCTGTTCAAATCTTTTGTCCATTTTAAAATTAGGTTTTCATTGTTGGTTTGTAGGAATTCTTCATATATTCTGCATACAAGTCTTTTGTCATATATGTGTTGGGAATATTTATTTTTATAGACTGTGACTTGCCTTTTCATTTTTAACTGTCTGTTAATGAGAAATTTTAGATTTTGATGATGTCAACTTTATTAATTTTTCATTGTTTCTTTTTTCTTTCTATCTCCTAAGGAATCGGTGCCTTATCTGTAACTACAAAGATATTGTTCTATGTTTTCTTATAGGAGCTTTATAATGTTAGGTTATATATAGCTTTATATGTTTAGATCTATGATCTGTCTTGAATTAATTTTTGTGTACTAGTGAGGTAGAAGTAAGGATTTTTTTTTTCTACATGTATACTAAGTTGTTACAACACTAATTATTGAAAAGACTTTCCTTACCCTCATTGAGTTTCTTTAGTGCCTTTGTCAAAGGTCATTTGGTCATAAACATGTTGGTCTATTTCTGGATGTTTTTACTCTGTTCCACTGATGTATTCATCTTTTTGTCAATTGTTTGTGCCCACTAAAAAAATCTACCAAAACAAACTTCTATCCATATTTCACATGGCCAGAAACAAAGCAAATGTTTAAATGTTTATTAGGTATTATGCTTATGAAAAGTGCAAAAACAAAGAACTACAGTTTACTGATTTATCACAAAGCAAATACCACATAAGCCACG